TTATTCTAGCTTACAAACTACTGGCGTTTACGCGTATGCTCGCAATATAGATGTCGCGCGCAATTCAGCCACGTTGACAGCAAAGGCTGAGATTCGAAACGAATACTCCAACCCTAAGACATTCGCTTTTGTTGCAACCGTGAAGGATGCCAAAGGGAAAATCATTAAGACAATGGATACCCGGAAATATACGCTAGCTCCTAATGATACAACCACGGCGTCGGTATCTGGCCACGTTGACAACCTCAACTTTTGGAGCTTGGGATATGGCTATCTGTACGATGTCACAACGACTATAAGTGTCGATGGCAGGGGTGTTGATTCTGTGACGACGCGAACTACAAACGAATGGCCAGCTTTGGGTCAGATTTCTCAAACTCTCTTGTCTTGGCTGGTCGCGGAGCTTTGATTCGATGGATGCATGTCACGCCTTGGAGACAGGATGTCTAGTCGTTGAATCGGCTCGGCATTCTGCGGGCCATGCCGGCTGGAGACCCCGAAGGCGATGTGACAGGCGACCGCTGGCAGCAGCGAACCGACCTGATGCGAGATGCCATCATATATAATCGCAACAATCCCAGTCATCTTTTATGAGTCAGGGAACCATGGTATATCCGAAGAACATATGCAAGAAATGAAGTCCATTCGCGATAAATGGGACCCAAAAGGGGGTCGAGCGATTGGGTCTCGAGAAATGCTTAATAGTACCATGGCAGAGTACGGAGGGGAGATGCTCTATATCATCTTCTCTGACTCTGACTAACATCACCGTGGAGAGGAAAACTATCGCGTTTCGGGAGAAGTTGATCCGATGCGGCTTCCGAAAGATGGATGGTATGCTCATCAAGTTATGTGGGATAAGTGGGTTGATATCGAGAGGCCTGCTGTTCACATTATCGGGCACTGGAACTATGAGGCGGACGTTGTCAAAAATGTTAGCATTATATCCACAGCAGATGAGATTGAACTACGCGTCAATGGCAAGTCGATTGGCTAGGGAGAACAGAGTAAGCGCTTCCTATTCACGCTCCCCAAGGTCACTTATCACGCGGGAACGTTGGAAGCTCGGGTTTATAACGGAGGAAATCGCAAAGTCCCCGTCGCCACGGACACACAAACTACGTCAGGCGAGCCTGCAGCCATCCGTCTCACCCCTCATACTTCACCATCTGGGTTCATAGCCAACGGGGCAGACATAGCGCGCATAGACGTAGAGATTGTTTATGCTCACGGCCAGCGGTGTCCCATCGCTATAAACATGATCGACTTTCCGCTATCAGGGGCCGCCGAATGGAGAGGAGGCATAGCTCAAGGGCCAGACAATTACATTCTTCCAAGGGTCTTCCAGTAGAGGATGGCGTTAATTGGGTCATGCTCCGTTCTACAACGACTCCTGGCAGCGTAGCACTACGCACTGCATCGGATGGACTACAAGGCACCTCGATAAAGCTTAAGACAACGTCTTTTAAGACAGATCACGGGTTGAGTCGGACGATACCTGCTGCTGATTTAACGTCCAACTTGTCGCGAGGGCCAACTCCAAAAGGCCAGTCATACACGACAAAGCGGCGCACTTCACATGTATCAGCGGTTTCAGCCGGCTCTAGTGTTGACGGTGCGATTTTGTCTTTCGACGATAATGAGTACTCGCAATGGGAGAGCAGCTCAACAACAAATCTTGCCTGGATAAGCTATAAATTAGATAAAGCTGCTGTCATCAATCAAGTTGTGTTGAAGCCACTCAGCTTTCGAACTAAAAGCTACAAGATGAAAGTTTTCATTGATGGAGCAGTAGCCTGGACAGGATCGACACCAACGTCACTGGGATATGTGATGCTCAATGTGAATGAAACAAGCGGAAACAACATTACTTTAGCTTCGACGAGCGGCAAGCTTGCGATCATTGAGGCAGAGTTCTACGGCCCTCTTTTGCCCTGAAGTAGTTACGCTGAGTTGGGCTGAAGTAGTGTAGTAGTAACTATCATCTAAGAAGTCACCATACATCTGACAAAATCGTAGCCAGTCGCAAGATCTGCCTCGAGCAGACTTGTTACACAAAGCAACGCAGACAGAATCGAAAATGCGTACCTCGACTTCTACGACGACAAAAAGATGTCGAATAAACTTTGAGTCTGACAAGGGTCTCACAGCTATGTTGACTTGCTATGGTTTTACAATTAGATTGTAATCATATGAAACTCTGTGAGTTTGTATACCATGAATCTCGGAACCGAGCAGGACTGTGCTGCACAACCCCATGGCATCCCAAGGCTTCCGGCTGACTCAAAGGCTATCAAACGACACTGTCATGTGTGTTTAGAAGCTGTTGTGTTTTTCTCATCTAGAAGATGGTGTTCGGATGCTTGCCGCTTGAGTGTCTATTAATATCGAACCGCTTCTATCTGCGATCCTATTCGTCGGCCGTACTCAGTCGTCAACTCTTCCCGTGCCGCCCCCAATTGCGGCAGGTCCTTTCTTGAAGAAAGCCCGCCTGCATTTGGAGAATGCTGACAGCGGCACCGGGCTGCAGGAGCGACCCAAGAAGCCCGGGCGGCCGAAGCGCTCGGGCCCCTTCCACGCCGAAGCGAGGTGCAGTGACCCGTGTTATCCCCCCTTTTGAAGTCGATCTCATACCGGTAGGGCAGGCAGTTGATTAATCCAGCTGATGGTATACCCAATGTTCCGGGTTTTCTGGCCTTGGCGCTGCCTTCATGTCTTCCTGCTCCACATCGCAACCATGCCATTACGAGCCGTGTTATTCGACAAGTTTCACAGGTTCAGAAGGTCGTCATGGCATATAAATGGACCTCCTCATAGTAGACCTTCCAGCTTAAGCAAGGCCAATCTTTGCCGTTTTCACCTTGACCTCTGGTTCATAGGGTCAGTTTGTGTTACATTGGCACGACACCAGGCAGTTCTCGGTCCCCTGCCTCACACATGTCCATGTCGTACCAAGAATAGTACGATGGCCTGCAGGGCAAGCAAACTTTCTATGTATGACCGACTACAGTTTCACTCGGACCTGCGTTCTCTCCGAGCCATGTGCAGACTCTGGAGTGAGACGGGATGCGGGCGGTAAACTTGGAGAAACTCTGCCCCTCTGACGGATGGCTAACAAATGGTGGCTTGAACTATTGAACTGTCTGCATCTCAAGTGGACAGAGGCTGATGTGGATGGTGTGAACGAATTCTCGTCTCTCCTACTCAAGAAATGAATTGGCCTACTCTGCCTATAAAAATATCGATCTCAGAGTTCTTCTGAAAGCAAGGTTTGGAATGGGCAAGAATCATTTTCGCTTTGGACTCATTCTATCTATCAAGTTCGAGGATGAATTTCCTTATGAGGAAAGTAGTTTTCTCCTTATTTCTTTTCATCATTGGCGCTCCTGTCACTGCATCTCCACTATCTGGACCGCTCTTGGCATCAAGGGCGGGAGACTGCAATACGGCTACGAACAGAGCATGTTGGACAACTGGCTTTGACATTAATACGGACTATGAGACTAGTATCCCGACAACTGGGGTCACTAGAACGGTAGGCTCGCCGACTCAAACATTTGGTCTGATAACTAAGAGATGTAGTACACATTTACGCTCACCGAGGTTAACAACTGGGTAGGCGGAGATGGCGTTGCGAAGACAAAAGCAATGCTCATCAATGGCAAGTTTTAAGAATTCAAAAGGAAATCCATATTGATCCCTATTGAAGCTAATATGTCCAATCAGATGGCTTTCCAGGTTTGTCATACACAGATGCATGGTAACTCAGTCTCTTGAACTCGGCTTGCTAACATAAAAGCCAGGTCCAACAATCACAGCTGGTGGGCAGAACCTAGCGAACCTGTCCTGGGCCTCTGTAAATATAATACTGACGTTCCTCATACAGATTGGGGGGATCGAATCAATGTGACGGTAATCAATAATCTTGTGACGAATGGGTAAAAAGACCAGATCTCAATTTTTTTTTTGCTCTTGATGAAGATGACACTAACTGCACTAGAACCTCAATTCACTGGCATGGTGTGAGACAGCAGAACTCCAATACCCAAGACGGAACAAGCGGCATTACTGAATGCCCGATCCCGCCAGGGAGCAGCAAGACGTACTCTTTTCTAGCCCAACAATATGGCACTTCATGGTATCACTCTCACTTTTCTGCCCAATACGGCTACGGTGTTGCTGGTCCCATTGTCATTAACGGTCCCGCTTCTGCGAACTACGACATTGACTTGGGACCCTTCATCATTTCTGACTGGTACTATGGCGGCATTGACGCTATCCTGCATCGTGTAAACAACCCAAACAATCCCTATATACCAGGCTTCCCCGGTTCAACCCCGCCGAGCGACAATATACTCTTCAATGGCGTAAACATCAACCCTAGAGGTGCCGGCGGATCCTATCGTAGAGTCACACTCACTCCGGGCAAGCTTCATCGTCTCCGGCTTGTCAATCCATCTGTCGAGAACACCTACATGGTTTCGCTCGTCGGGCACTCATTGAAAATCATTGCAACCGACTTCGTTCCCGTCCAACCGCAGACGGTCAACAGCCTGTATATCGGGGTCGGTCAACGATACGATGTGATTATCAATGCATCCCAGCCGGTCGGCAATTACTGGTTCAACGTGACCTTACCTCGCGGACCATGCGGGCTGTCGAACAATCCACGCCCGGCTGCGATCTTCTCGTACACTGGTGCTTCGACTGGGAACCCTACGAATGCGGGCACTGCGCCTACTGACCCCAACTGCGCTGATCCACTCAATTTTACCCCTATTGTGTCTCGAACGGCACCGGTGGCATCATGGAACCCAACCGCGGGCGACACACTGAACACGAACATCTTCATCAATAATTCCATCGCTCGTGTATTCTGGCCTGTCAACAATTCACCAATGAATGTCTCCTGGAGCAATCCCACCTTGAAGTATGTTCAGTCGGGCACCGTCGCTTCGATGCCGCGGCAAGAGAATGTGATCCAAGTGCCGACAGCCAACATGGTGAGCTGTCTGATCATGCCCCCGCGGCTCTTGCGCGGAACTCACTCTGTTTCTCGTAGTGGTCATTCTGGCTGATCCAGAACAATTCGTCGATTCCGGTAAGTGTTATGAGAGCTAGACAAGTAAAGACAGATTGCTAACAACGCTCCAGCATCCGGTCCATCTGCATGTCAGTCGCCCCCTGAGTCACGATATTCCCTGGGTTCATGGATTAACCTCTTTCCCAGGGCCACGACATCCTCGTCCTCGGCGCCTCGCCCGCGCTCGCCAACCCGCTCGCGCCGGGCAACACGCTCCGGGCGTTCAACCCGGCGACGGACAAGGCCGGGCTGAAGGGGGCGAACCCGACGCGGCGCGACACGACGATGCTGCCGGCGTGGGGCTGGCTGGTGGTGGCCTTCCTGAGCAACAACCCGGGCGCGTGGGTCTTCCACTGCCACGTGGCGTGGCATGTGTCGCAGGGCCTGAGCGTGCAGTTCCTCGAGCAGCAGGGCGCCATCCCCGGCGCGATGAACCTCAACGACCTCACGGCCAACTGCAACGCCTGGACGGCGTACTACCCCGCGCACGATCCGTACTGGCAGGACGATTCGGGCATTTGATATCAAAGTGGCCTCAACAGATCTGATCTGGTCAAGTGGCTGATGATAGGTATGGTTGGCGTAGTGTGGACGTGGTGGTACAAAGCGTTACGAGGTGCTCAGGGCTAAGGGGGAATGTTGATGATGCTTCAGGGGCTGAATAATGTCAAGGTGTCGATAGCAAGGGGCAAGATAGCAGCTTAATCATTTCTTTGCTGCGAGGAAAACATGATTGAACAGTAGAACGATAGAAATACATAGTCTACCTGTCTACTCGAGCTCAATCAAACTCATCATCAATGCCACTGTCAAGAATCAGATTCTTTTTTCTGTCATGGCTTAGCTCATTCAATACAAGAACTCCACGGCGGTGCGCGGAGCACAGGCCACGCACGCACCGGAAGAAAACAAACAGTGGGACGAATCGGCGATGGCGCGGGCATCGGTCTGTCCCGTTCCGTCGACGTCACAGAGTCTAGGCTCGGGAATTGGGGCGGGGCCCAAGGGGCTAATGAGGTTCTAAAGCCAAAGTGATGATGCCCATCACTGCTCGCCGCTAGCCCGTCTTTTGACAAATTGACATTGACTTGTTCTTTTTTAGGCGTGCCGTGGGCCACCGTCCCAAATGCTCCGGCGATCTGGGCTCCCGAGGCTCCCCCTTCTCAGCTCTACAAGGGTCTTCCGGCCATGCATCGGTCCACGGAGGCGTCCCGCCTATTCGCTTAAGAATCCACGGAAGGGGGGGGGACGCGGAACAAGTAGAGGGGCGACAGGGTGGCACGGTAGGTGGCCAGCCAGCTGTCGCAGCCCCAAAAGCTGCAAGATGCAGGTCAACCTTGAAGGTTGGCAGGCTGGCAGGCTTGCGCTCAGCTGGATCACCGGACCATGTTGGTGGGTGCGGAGAAGATGCTCGTGTGACTGACTGGCCTCACTAGCAACGGACCGTGATGGGGGGGTGGCCCAATGGTCACAATGGCCACTTGCGCCGGCTCCGTTTTAGCGAGCCATCCGGCACTGCTAAAATCCAGCTAATAAGGAGGGTTGGGGTAGCTTTTCTTTGTCTTCCCGAAGCTTGAAGTTTCGGTGAAGAGACATGCCAATAGAGTTGAGCTGTCCTTGAAGAATTCGTAGGGTAAAGGTAGATGCTAACAAGCAGGTCGCCGCTAACGCTAACAAGGGAGCTTGCATTGCTGTCCAAGCCGAGGAGTCTTTAACTTGGGGAGGAATTACCTGGCAATCCAAGAGATTGTCGAATGATCAAGATGCCTGCCTTCCTTATTCACCGCCAGATCAGATGGGAGAGAAAAATTGAGTCTTCTTGGCAGGGTCATCTAAATGACTTGTCCTTTGAAGAGCTTGACAGCTTGCAGAGCAGCAGCTTTTACTGTAGAAGGCGAGAGCGAATGAAATGTGCTGCATTAACGTTATGATCTAAGGCATGGAAAAGGGGGCTAAAAGGATCAGATGCACAATTGGAGATTGATAGAAGGCTGGAAAGGGGAGACCAAAGCCCCGGACTGGGACTGGGACTGGGACTGGGACTGTATATGTACAGCGACGGCATCTCGAGAGTACCTGTTGCAGCGCGGGGAAATGGCTTGGTAGTCCTGTACCGGAATGAGAAAGGGCATCTGAATGGAATCAAATACAATAACACAGAATCGATACCCTAGATCGCTTGGGCTCTGCTTCTTCTACCCATCTTTCTACTTTTCACTGCATGAAGATATACATACAACAAGTCTACCCAGTCTAGGCGTCCTTAAGTACTTGTGCTGTGGCTGGAGGCTGGAGCATCGAATGGGACTGATGCACATCATCAGAACAAGGCACACGCCAAGCCAAGCTCAGCCAAGTCAAGTCAAGGAATTTACCGAGCAATCGATCATCCAGTCATCCATTCATTGAATTGATTGATTGATTACTTGGCAGATCGCCCTCTGGTGGCCCTCGTGGCGCGTGCTCAGACTCAGATCTTCTTTCTTGCAAGACCTGACCTGCTTGCCTGCCTTGAGTACCTCCGATCAATCTTCTTCCTTTTCACCACCAGCAAACCTAAACTCATTCAATCTTCTCTGCGTCGCTGAAGAGCCTGGAGATTTGCAGGCGTCCAGTCCAGCCCTACAAATCTCTTGCCTTGCTTTTGCCCTGCTGCACCGTCGATCTCCCACTCAGGGGGGTGATCCTAAATCCCAGTAAAAAAAATAAAAGGCGGCGCGTGGGTGACACCATCAATAATTTGGGGGCGGTGGCATTGATTGGCAAAAAACGCGAACCCTCCTTTTTAACCTGGGCCCTGGGCAGGCTTGTTTCTGCTGTGACGCAAACCCTCCCCAAAACACCAAGAAAAAAAGACCTGGCCATACCTGAGCCTCCCAGAAATTCTCCGTCGCCCTCCACGACTTTCCCGCCGCCGAGCTCTTCCTCCTTCCGAGCCAATTTGATCGGGCTTCAGCTTCCCTGGCCATCAGCGGCCGCCTAATCGCTGTACCAGACACACACCCAAACCACATTGTCGCTCCTTGCTCCCGACTTCACCATGGCTCTCCTCGAGACCCCGCAGGTGGGCGGCCCGACAATCTTCGGGCTGCCCTTGAAGCAAGCCTCCCTGATCACGGCAAGTCCCACGAGAGCTTCAATCGCGCACCCTCGCGTCCCATAGCTAATATTCAGCGTGTACAGCTCACCTTCCAGAACTCGGCCCTCATCCTCGTACGCCCTTCCCTTCCAGAGCCTCTCCGTCGATGACGCAGTGGCTTGAGACACCAATTGGAGACTGACGATGCTCTCTGCACACAGATCATGCACTACAGCCGGATGATGGCCCCGGCCGGCGACCACAGATACTTCACGAGCACCGCCGTCTTCCTGAACGAGGTCATCAAGCTGACCATCTCCCTCACCTTCGCCATATACGAGAACTCGCGAAGCCTGGCGCCACAGACGCCCGTCTCGGTCGTTTTCGAGCAGATTTACAATTCAGTCTTCCGGGGCGACGGCTGGAAATTGGCGATACCCGCGACTCTGTATACGCTGCAGAATACCTTGCAATACGTGGCTCTGAGCAACCTAGACCCGGTCCATTTCCAGATCCTCTACGAGTTAAAGGTGCGCCAAACACGATGCCCATCGCACTATTAATCTTGGTCATAGTTGGGCGTTCTGGGTAATTCATGCTAACATTTGTGTAGATCCTAACAACAGCTTTCTTCAGCGTCATCTTGCTAGCTCGGCCACTGTCCCCAAAGCGATGGCTCTCGCTCGTCGTGCTGACTTTTGGCGTGTCAATCGTCTCTCTGCCATCGGGCACTAAGGACCTCGCGATGATGATTCACGACACGAGCGATCACTTCTTTCCCCGATCTGTACACGAGCTAGGAGAAGCTGCGGGTGGCATGGTGGACGTCGCGCGGCATCTTACGAGGCGGACGGTGGAAGGCTTGGCTGGAGAGGTTCTACACAAGCGATCAGCGACCTACCAAGGAATCCAGGAAGATCTAGACACGACTCCGCACATGAACTACTCAATTGGCCTCGCCGCAGTCCTCATCGCCTCCACAGTCTCCGGCGTTACGGGCGTCTACTTCGAGAAGGTCCTGAAGGACTCGCCAACCCCTGTGAGCGTGTGGACGAGGAACATCCAGCTATCATTCTACAGCCTGTTCCCAGCACTGTTCGTGGGCGTCATCTGGAAGGATGGCGACGAGATCGTCAAGCACGGCTTCTTCGACGGCTACAACTGGGTTGTGTGGACGACCATCGTGCTGCAGGCAATTGGGGGTGTCCTCGCGTCCCTCTGCATTCAGTATGCCGACAACATCGCGAAGAACTTTGCCACTAGCATTAGCCTTGTCATTAGTTTCATCTTCAGCGTGTGGTTCTTCAACTTTGGTGTCTCGTTCACTGTATGGCTCTATTTTCCCCCATCTAAGCCTAGACAGGGAAATAACTGACATCCTGCAGTTCATACTTGGCACAGCACTCGTGCTCCTCTCAACATGGCTTTACAGCGGCCCAGATCGCAAGCGTGGCCGACCCCCACCGATCAATATTGTGAGCTACGAGAAGACCGTCATCGCGAGCACGCCGAGAATCACGGAGGAAAGCAAGCTAAACCTCGATCCCATGGACGCGCAGTCCATCGGTCTATCCACCTCGAGACCTGCCACCCCTCTGAGGTCCCACTCCCGAGCCCCCTCGGCCAGGGGCAAGAGCCGGGATGACTAGATGACATTCTGATGGGGATATGAAGATGAAAAAATAACGGCGTGGGAGCATTACATGGTCTTTGTGGGGACAGGCGCATCATAGAACGAATCCTCATGCATCAGAGCCGCGCCGAGGCGGCGACGCGCTTGATTAGATCATGGGGAGATCCAACACATATACGGCGACTAGGGAACGCTGTGCTTGGCTAGACTAGCATCGATTGATTTGTATATTTACACCGCTGCCTTCTATCGACGGCGGGCGGCAGCACTGCCGCACTGATCCGGACACTGGTCCTGGAATCCAATGCGGAGGCCTACTCGGGCATTTCACGGTGCTCAAGACTTGGGCATGTGCGTCAAGCAGTGTGGAAATATTGGTAGACCGCATGATAGCACGCAACCTGGTTAGAAGCAACGACTTTCAGCAATTTCCCGACCCCGCGTGTGATTGATGCCAGAACAGGATATCATCAGGCGTGACACGTTATTTGACAGCCATTCTAGACCCCTTGTAAGACACCTTGTCACCGGAGGCTCTATACAGTCTCTGTTGATGCTTGGCACAGCACCATCAGAGCGTACTAGGGGGCTGTATTCTCACTCCAGCTTGTGCCTCGAGAAGAACTGCACCAAATGCTGGCTCGTAAAGTTAAAGTTGGCCGTCTGGTTCGGGCGTCCGGCCAAGTCCAGCCCCAGCGTCGACGGCCACGCGTGGCCCAGCCCCTCGACCGTCAGGCCCCGCACCTCCGCGCCGCCGGGGCAGTCCCACACCTCCTCCCACGCGCCGGGGTGCACCTCGGCGACCGAGTCCGGCTCCGGCCACGCGCCCGCGTAGCGCCCCGCGCAGCCGTTGCGCTCCGCCCACTGCCGGCGCCACAGGCGGGCGTCGGGCTCCGGGCCAAAGGAGCCGCCCAGCGGGTCGCGGCCCAGGAACTCGGTGATGCGGTCCTCGACCCCGTGCGAGTGCAGGATCGGCACCGGCCGCGAGGGCGTGCAGTTGTAGAAGGCGTACGTGCCCTGGTACAGCGCCGGCGAGACGGGCGCGAAGGCCGCGAAGACGGACGAGGTGTCGGGGCGGCAGGCCAGGAGCGCGGTGAAGCCCCCGCCATTGGACTTGCCGCAGGCATAAATGCGCGACTTGTCGATGTTGTAGGTCGAGGATACGGTGGAGAGGATATCGTAGACGTACGCGATCTATCGGTCCCAGGTCAGTGAAAAGGCTCTCTAGGCCATTGTAGCTACTCAGGCAGCGGCGGCAAGCAGCATCCTCTGACGGCATGACACTCACATCATCGACGGTCGTGTTCTCATAAGGCGCTCCTTTCCAAATATGTGTCATGTTCCATTCTGTGTTATTTACGCCTTGCGCGTACGCTGTAAGGAATGGCTTTCCTCCGATGCTTAGCGATGGATCAGATAGCTCAGTGACTCTTTGCTGCTTCTCACTGAAACCGCCGGCTATAGACGTCCGTTAGCAAGCGGCTTACCATCCTCAGCCATCATTGTCATATGAAGAACCATACCTCCATGGAAAGACAAAACAAGAGGATACTGTTCATCATGTGAGTACGTGGTCGGTATATTGAGTAGAAACGTGCGCTCTGTGGGGAGGACATAAGCGACGTTTCCTACGGCCGGTTCTTCAGACAGAACGACCTGTGATGCTCCCGCAAGACCCGCGACAAGGGCAACTAATTGCAACGCGGCAGCCATATTTGCTTTCTACGAATAGCCTCGATCAAGCCGAACTCATCTCTTGGAAGAGGCCATGAAACTCTACAGAAGCAACCGAAAGCCACCATGATGATAACGGTCCGGTGCCGACCGGAGGTCAACCAGGTTCCCGACAAGCGGGGCAGAGATCATCGGCAAGTTCCTCATCTCCACCCCACGCCAAATTGCCTTCGAATGGTGCGATAAGGCATAATGCGACCTTGCATGTCTAGTTCGGTGGGCCCTTGCAATCCTCTCGGATGTCGGTGTACACAAATGAATCAGACGATATTGGCCAAGGCCAATTCGATCGGAGGAGAGCATGTTTGAAAGGCGTATTAGCCCGGTGTGTAGCACCTGTGATGCCATCCCGTGCCAAGCTCAACGTTGTTCTTGGCCCTTATGATAGATAACTGCCAAAGATGCGCTTGGTATTGTGGCTGAAAGCTTGTCTAAACGTTCGATATTCGCTGCTTTGCGGTACCCGCCGTTTATCAAGCTGATCAGACTCTTACCACATAGCAGAGGCAGACAGTAATGATGCTATCGTGAGCCTGCTCTAGGTTCCAAAATTACGTGTTGTCTTATTGCACTAAGTCATAAGTGAAGAACTTGCAGAATATACAATCTCCGTTATATATAGGGATTCTTAAAATCTAGCCTATAATGCTTGGCGATTCTTCACTCCACGAAGTTATTTATTGACTGTCCATTCATAGCTGATCCTGTGGATGTACTGAGGCCGTTTGGGTGCATAACAGCAGACAGATCTCGAGATGTATTGTTGCCTCGTCCAGCAGAATCTGGATTCAAACGGTAGGCCGTTCGACTTTAAAACTCTCCTGGTCCCTTCCCAAAATGCTCACCAGCCGGGACTGTCAACCATGGCACGGACTTTGTGTCATCAGTGTTCGATCCTACAGTATTTCCCCACCAATTGAGAGTTACATTATTGTAGCTGAGGCAGAAGAAGATAAGCACGGTTGCAATAGCAGTACCCGTATCCATGGCAGCCTGCAGAAGGTCTACGATGAATGTTGTTTTAGCCAGAAGGTACGTATTATAGAATACCAAAGCAGAAACTTACAATTATATCGCTTCCACCAGTCAAAGGCACGTCTCCGAATAAGGTGGTTGAAGATGAATCCAAAGATGAACCAGAGAGAGTATTGGGCTGCACATCATCAGTCAGTAAGAAGGGTCACAAACAAACCATAAATAATGAACTTACTTGTGTTTGCCGGTGGAATCTGTCCCGCAGCATCTACGGATGTTTTGTCAGTGCTTCTCTACCTAGGTGATTTATGAAATTCAAAGTAACAGGCAACCTACTGAAAAAGACCGGAACATTGATATATCGAACCCAGCTATTCGGATACCTGCGATAGACAAGATATACGAGGATGGTGACGACTGGCTAGTTTGGTAGGCACATTAGAATGGAGGACGACGGGTTCGAGGGATCTTCACTTACCCCGATCAAGAAGAAGTACATTATGCCATTGTATACCTGTCCCGATTGGAACATTCTTTGCGGTCCGATGGTGCCCCATATTATAGAGGCATTATAAACCACCTTAGCACCATTGCAAGTAAATCGTTGCGTGTTTTTGGGGTCGCAGAGATTCTCGATATTACCAATCATCCATCGGAGGACTGTTTCTTATCGTCAGCTCGAAGTTTGATGATGATGGATCAGGCTGCTGCAAGTTCACTCACCACCAACCTGGGTCATGGTTGCGAGGATGGACGAGTATATCTGTCCAAAAAACAAGACTCTCGGAGGGATTTTCTTGAGCCAAATGTCAGCGGTGAATTGGGTTTCCAGTCAACGAAGTCATACCATATACTGTCCCAGCTTCAGATCCTGGGCGAAGTCCATGCCATGTTTGACAGAGTTGTAGCCGTAGCATTTGACCATCATATTGGCAATCGGCTTCCCGGGCCATGCATACCCGGCAATCAGTTCGGTAATGATGTTTAAGAAACTAGGTTCAGCAATTAATCAGTGAAGTCAAATTGTAGGTAAAACATGGCTCGCAACTTACATCCTCTGATTCGTCGTACCTTCTAGAATGCCTTCGGGTACGATCAATAGCACACCCATGCCGAAGCACACTACTATGAAACCCCAGACAGGTAATCCTGAATCCCAATACCTTACTGTTAATATGCCTAAGCCAAGTACCACAACCGTCAATACGCCATACCACCAGTCTGGTACTTCCTTGTAGTTGTTCATCAGCCGCTTGTGAATATCCTCACCGCCATGGCGAGCGTTCTTGAACTTGGCCCAGATCTCGGACCCGTTGTACAAGTATGTGTAGAATACGATGGCAGTTACAGCTGCGAAGGACAGGGCATAAGTAAGAGAATACGACATAGATATATACATTGGCGAATATGCCTCGTATTTGCTTAGCACAAAGTTGAGATTCTTGTCAACAACGCGGGAAATATTGTAAGTTTTTCCGGTGTTGTCGAATGTGCTGGAAGATAGCAGAGGCAGGCTGTTCTTTCATTAGCATCACTAGAGCAAGATAGCTGGAAATCAAATTAATAGACTAGGAGGGACACTCACTAAGCACTATTCCACACATTGGTGTAGTAAAGGATTGGCGACAAGAACAAGTAGAAGAACACCACCACGGCAAAGGCATTGCAAGTGATGTAGAATGGTGTGACGAGTGGCTGTCCTGCGTAGTTTATCTGGGTCCAATCGATACTGAGTGGCAGCAAGCCAAGTCCAGAGTTCATCTTGAAATTGTATCAGCTCTGACAAAGCCACCTTATTTCCGAGATTTTGAACTCACTCCAAATATGGTGTTCACTTTCTGGTTATGAGGCACAATCCAAGTAATGAATGCAAAAGTGCCGAGACTTGTCCAAATATAGTCGGGGAACCAGAAGAGTACGAAAGCGAAGACGGTGAAGTAACCAAAAAAGCGGTACCGGGTAAGTGTCCAACCGTTAGCCGGAGAACGGTCTTGGGGCTCGTGAAGGGCGCGAAATAAGACGGTTGACGAGAGCGATGACGGCCAAATCAGTGCAGCAGGATACACTAGCCATCGTCGTGAAAGGCCAGCAAGACCGAATCTGATTATTGTTGTTAGCAAAATACGCTGCTGATCTCTATTCGAACATGTAGGAGATGCTCAACTACAATAGCATCAAGCCCGCTGTTACATTGAGAACGACTTTGACAAATTACTGACCCAATCATTTGTGTGGTAAGGAGGTAGAGAAAGCCAAAACCTGCGCCATAGTCACGATTCCAGTACACGGGGCTAATAATCGCAACTAGTGATCCAGATGCATACGCCACACTGCAACTAATATTCACGCACTATAGTATAAATTAGTCATAAATACATTAAGTTGAAGATATATAGGAAAATGAAATTGACATACAATGACGATTAAAGCATGTTCTTTAATGGTAAATTTGCCTGGATTGATATCGAAGGAAAACTTGCCAAACGGCAGCCTCCACCGCGGGAGTTTTTCCCATGTCCTTCCAATAGGAAACACCAGAAGCTGAGCGACCACATAACCAATTGAAAGAGAGGGCTGTTTTCGTAGGCGTCAGTAAAGCCAAGCTAACCCATGCTTTGAAGAGGGGAGGACAACGAACGTAGCGTAAGCCGAAGAATTGATTGACTCCAGCGAACAAAATGACAAAAATCGTTGTCAAAACCCACGCTCGGAATGCTACAAGGCTTTAGTAATGAGTGTATCTCTAATGTATTCTTAAAACTGACTATTGCACAGAATATTGGGGTCGTCTGTGTTTGGCACGCATGCAGCTACTTCAGGAACTGAGAAGGTGTTGGAGTTAATATCCATAAATAGCGGTGATATTATAATTCTTCTAAATCACTTACACGGAGACTGATCGCCATGGACATCCCACTTGAAGGCTTCGGCTGGTGTAAGCTCAGTTCTATCCGGTTGATGAAGGAGTAATTTGTTTTCGTCCGCCGAGTCTCCGCCATTATAAGCCTCAGCTTCGATATCGGATATGTCCGCGCGCACAGCATCTTTCTTCTCACTTTCCCCGACAGACCTGTCAATGTCTTGCGATGTTGATCGGGCCGGGGCGACCTGCTGAATATCAGAGGTCATAATGACTTGTGTCGAAGTGCTCTCGAGAACTGACGCTAGATACGGGTGAGGATCACAAGAGTCCCGTACCTCCCCGGTACGCCCGAGGGGGCATGTCGGGTTTTATCATCTCGGAAAAGTTAGCGTTCGTTATCGCAATTCCCGTATTGTAGCACGTTATCAGCGAGAACCTGAGAGATGTTGCATTGGCCGCTCTCCTATTGATAACATGCACGGCACTAGCCGCGATCACTGGGACCATACTAACTAGATCGCAGCAAGGCTCTTGATATGGTCTTAGCGCAGCAGGGATCAAAATTCGTAAGCGGTGGAGCCTTTAACATCTGCTGGGGCGATTATATGTCAACACGGCAGTCGGGGTGTGGGGGTATCTACGAACAACACTTGGTGCCTCGGCAACTTTTCGTGATGCTTTGTGTCGCCGAAAGTACATTTCCAGGCGCCTCAGAAATTTTCTCGACACTTCGCTATTCCCAATCCTATAAAAGCACCAACAGAATCGCGCTGCTCGAAAACTTGGTAAGTTATTGCCTCCTCGTATTCCCTCCACTTCCCTTCTATGATTCAACTTCCACTTCACTTCGCAGTTTCCACGCAAGACGTCACTCGAGCCTTTGAGACGTGCGATGAGCGATCAATCCTTCCTTGGATGTAGACCTTAGGGTGTTACACCTCCTGAAGCTAAAGTACCTTTGTGTGTTTAACTAAGTACTAACGTTCTCTTAAGGTAGAGACTTTTACCAACCAAAACCCTCTATAAGTTTTTTGCTAGAGGATTCTGGCAAGAGCCGCGCTGCCGACTATCCTTCAGGCCGTGCAATCGTAAGGCATACTACCATGAGTAGGATTATACTACTAATTCAGTCCCACTAAGTCCAATGGAACGTGACACTATATGCCCTTTTTGCCTGGTTTGGTCGCAGTGCGTGCGCTTGGTCTTCGCCGAGGCTGCCAGATACCGTACATCCCACACAACCATGTGTTTAGCCCTGAGAACTTTCAGTTCCTGTGGGACTGTGCTTCGTCTGCTAATGATTATGCTGAGTCCCTTACTTGCCAATGTTACGATACAATTCTAAGTAGCCGTATTTCCTCGTCCAGTCCATGATAGTCGATACGCTCTGCATTAAAAATATATTATCAAAGAGGCACACCAAAATTATAGCTTCATTATTTGAGCAGCCTTTGGGTTCATTCCTTGCTATTGGTCAAATCCTCCCCTGTCTTCTCCTTAGTGGCTGCTTTCTCATCTGCCATGTCCGTCTGTCGTATTATTTCGTACTTCGAATCAGAGAATAGCGGCAAGATGCCAGCAGCACAACTCCTAAGAAAAGTTGTTCCTGTGGCCAGGAAAATCAAGAATAGAGTGCAGAGCCCAAGGCCGGCAAAGTCTGAACCGCCTCCTAGCCGTCTAATCTTGAAGAACAACAGCTTAACCTTCTTGTTAGGATGCAGAAGTTGCTCTCGGGTTGGCCAGGCATTAGCCCTCTCGACTCGCTGGCGTAAGAGGCTAAAATAGGCCTGAGCTGTCTCTGAAAGAACACTCTCCAAGAATTTCTCGAGGTTCATTCTTCTCTGACCTTTTGACACGCCCAACTTCTGAAGTGCAAGCCCAAGTGGTCCACCGGATCCAGACTCACCCTGAGAAATTAGTCCATGAATTGCCCGGGCAGCAGGTAAGGCATATATGGGCGAAAGACATTTCCCACTCAATTCATCGGACAGGCTCTTAGCAGGCGTCAATATCTGACCGGTCCTCTGCCATACAGAATCGTTGTTCATTATTGCATAAAAGTCGCGAATGGGTTCATTTGAAAATGCCATGAAGGCCTTGTGAAACTCGGATGGCATGTAGGAGCACTTGTAAGAGTTCGCCATTGGCCGAGAAGCAGCCCAGTCTGGAATAATAATGGTCTGCACAGAAATCTGAGCACTTATCTGCTGGCGTTCCGTCCCCGAAGGTGTGGTAGTCTCTAATGTGTCATCAACGCTCATCAGATCAAAATCTGTGAAAATTTGCAGTTCGTTTTCGGGAGGTCGGCGAAAGCGGTACTGCTTGAGTTCCAATGTCATGATCATGCTGTCTTTTCCGGTGGCAACCGACAACTGATTGTCCGGCGCGAAGTCGTTCGGTGTATCGTCTTCTAGTGAGCCTTCCCACCTAATATGATATCCCCAGAATCGGCGGCACGAAACGCTGACATTCGTAACCCAGCTTTCGCCAAACATGGCTTGGAGTTCAAACTCCCTAGGAAGCCCGGCACTGCCATCACCAGAGAACTTTTCATAGGTGGTCATATTAATCCCGAGACCTTCGGTGATCATTCTCGAGTAAATGGCATCTCCCATGGGGTAACCACCTCGAGAGTGTGTGAGATTCGCCACTGTTCCGTAAGTTCCTGATCGCCAAGTTCCGAGTTTTCTGAAGTGGGCAAGGGCACTCTGATACAGGTGCGACTCAAGTGTAGGTAAATTGTTTGCTGGTAGATACAGCGAGGTATTGGCCCAGTTGTCTGGGATATCGATTGTGTCATTAGGGTAGAGCTGAGCATAGGGTATGAAAGGATTGGCCAAATGCAGTGAGCCATTCTTGAGAGGGTCAATGGAGGTATCTGGGACATCGTCGCCGATCTCAGCATACATCACTGTGTCGTTGAGCAGTGCTAGTGGATGCGAGATACCTGCTGGGAGTTTGTCCTCAACAGATCGAATCGCAACAAGCTGTAGGTGAGCTGATGCCTGGACCAAGGCAAATACAATAGCCCAGAAACCCCATCGCTTCCGACCGACTCGCAAGTCGACCTCGCCAGTGAATGGTCGCAGTAATAAGGTCAAACGTTTCCCCTTAGACCGAGCAAGTCTTGTTTCTTCTCTCAATAGCGTCTCGCTTGACGCAAAGGCGTAGATGGTAAGCGCACCCAGTATAATAGCATAGTTCCGGAAAAAAGCGTTCCACTGATAAGACGGTATCCTACCCAAGACTTGATATCGGCAAATCCCGCAGCGGCCATAGTTATCCGATGTGAACTTCTTCGTTATGACATTAAATCCAATGAGGATCATGAGCAGGAGACCGAAGGACGCTAAAGCCGAGCTGATGAGCGCGTTCCAGAGCAACACTCGTCGAGACATTGACCATAATAACACCATCGTGCTCTCCAAGCGAGAACCCACGCTGGCCTAATAGGCTCATATTTTGCGCGGATTCAAATTTTGTGGAAAGCCCAGCATTAGTTTTCACGACCCAGGTGTGAGAAGAAAATTAGGCTGCCAGGTTGGTGCCGCAACGCCAGCGCCAATCAGGTTTAGCCACCGACCCCTGGATTGAAATCACGAAGCCAAGCCGTCTCAGAAAACACAGCCAAGCACCTGAGTTGCCCCATCATGACATGAACTAGAACCAACTTGACAATCGTTTTCAATGATCGGAAAGGCCTTCGTATAAGAACTAACACGCTTCTTCGGCCGAGCTGGCCACAGCTCATGGATTGAGTCGCACGAGGGACTGATCCATTCTTCGACACCTACTACCTGCGTGACCGGCGACTAACTTTCAGTGACGTGACAGGCAATATGGAATTCATTGGCGACGATACCATGAGATAGATGACAGTCACTAGCTTGTCCCTAAA